ATGGGTGAAGGGTGTAGGGTATAGTGGTGATGGGTGTAGTGGTGATGGGTGTAGTGGTGTAGGGGTTATGGCTGTAGTGGTGTAGGGTATAGTGGTGATGGGTGTAGTGGTGTAGGGTGTAGTGAGGGTGGATGTAGTGGAGCACAGACTGAATGAGCTACATTCAACATCCAACTCAGGTGTTTTTATCAGACTCTGGAGATGAAAGTTTAAACGACTGTCTTATTTGAGAAAAGGCTGATTTATTTTAGCCAGCTGTGGAAACCAGGTCCAAAGACCCCCGACACTAATAAACAAGGGTTGTAGGTACATACACCCGTCTGGGATAATTCACACAGGTCCTAAAAGGTAAGGTGAGGTGTCAATAGAAAGCTAAAATCTAGAGTCTGTCTCTCCATTCAAAGAGTTTTCATGCAAAACAAGGAATAAAAACAGAAAACTTGATTAATTTCCATCAGTTATGGTCTCATGAATCACTTCTGAAATAGATTAAACAGAAATTCTGATCTCAGTATGATTCTGAGGGATCCTCACAGCTCAGGCTGAAGTACAAACTAGACTCTATGTCAGGGTTTCTGTAGCTGAAGCGGTTAGAACTCGATGCAGGGCAGTTTTCCAGCTCTGTGGAGGTACAGCAGAGGAGTGATGAAGCTGCTAATGATGCTGATACAGACGCTAAACAAGGTGAGCTGTAGAAGAACCAGCATGGACGCCACCAAAACGGAGGGGCCCAGCATGATGGACTGCAGCAGCTGGGTGATGCTGTTGAATCCTAGGGTGATGATGATGACCTTAAAGGCCTTCCTCTTCATGGTGTTCCAGTTCTCCGTGCCTTTGGACCCATCGCCAGGACCCGGCTGCTTTAGGACGAGGAGGACACGTAGGCCGCAGTAAGACAAGACGGCGAGGAAGAGCAGGGACTTGCCGATGAAGATCCAAGCATTGGTCGCCTCGGACAGGCCATATAAGGGAAGCATAAAGTCCAGCAGGATCAGCAGCCAGTCAAACAGACAGACGCCCAAACGGTACCGAAGAGGTTTCAACCTGCAAACAGGATGAATCAGACAGATCTGGAAGGTAGAATGGTAACCCAGAGACCTCAGACACAGAACTACACTAACTCCCAACCAGGAGAGCATCAGGAGAAACACTGTTGATCTTTCATATCTGACCCAACAAAGGCAGACCAGACCAATGCTAAGAGCTAAAACACATTTAGAGGCTAATCTAGAGGAACTGGCTTAGGTTCTTAGAACCTTGTCTGCAGTTATAAACAAAGATCCTCCGCCCCTCAGTACCGTACCTGATGAAGAGAGTGGGATGGACCACGGCCACGTAGCGCTCCAGACAGATGCAAGTCTGGAAGAGGGGCCGAGAAACCAACATGAGCTGCAGGAACACCTTCATAACCAACACACCGATTAGCCAAGGCATCTCCAGCAGGAAGTGGACCATCACGTAGAAAGACGAGCAACTAAAGAGGATCTCTGCGATGGCCAAGTTTAGGGCGAAGAGCTCCGAGACGACGGGACTGCTGGACTCGCTGGCAATCATCCAGACCACGTAGATGTTGGCCGGCAAACCTATCAGCACGTTGGAGGCAAGCACGCCGACTATACCGTGGAAGAAGAAACTGGCATCGAAAGTCAGCGTATAGTTGGGGTGAAGATAATCCATTTCCATCTGGTTTAGGAAGCGGTTATGATTTCTGTAGGAATTAAACCAGAAAGGCGTTTCTTTAACTTTTCCTAACACACGAGACTGTCATAGAAACAGATCAACAAGAAGTTCTTTCCTAAATATTCCACAAAAAGTTAGAAAACAATCCACTAGACCTTGTTTCCAAGTTTAAAGACGTTTCGCTTCCCATCCAGGAAGCTTTTTCTATTCAAAAATTGATTAAATATCTGAGTTTATTCTCAATCCAGTTTCAGGTGAAGACCCTACCTCCTTGTCTCTCAGAACCTGAAGCTCTCTGATTTTCTGTTTCATTTGGTTTTTAACTTTGTGGATTTTAGATGATAATCTTTCAGCAGTCTGGTACCGAACTTTTACATTCCCATCGCTTCTAACAAAGTTTAAAGTCAGCTGCATCAAACGGGCTTTAAAGCAACATTCAAGTTCAGAGTTTTGATCAGAACAAACAAACATAGGAGGATCAATGATGTGGTAAATGTTCAGAGAGCCAGTAAACAGACATAATGCTTTTTAAATTTACTGAAAAATAAACGGTCTTCTGGGGTTTACACACCTCGATCTCAGCCGCGGCGTCACTGCATCTAAACAGCCTCTATGCTCCGGTGGTTTTGCATTAAAGAGACTCTCCTGGTTGTAATTTGGGCTTTTCGTTTCTCGGGAAGATCACCACACGTTCCTTTTAAACCGAACCCACCTGTGGATTTGCATGGCAAGCAGCGGAGCCTAAGTTTACATCTGCTGCATTCAAACAAGCCCAGCGGAGACACGGATAGAGTTTCTGTGGACCCACGGTGTGGCCACATTTGCATTAGATTTCCCTCAAAATGCAATTTGTCAGTGGGCTCTATAAACAAAAGGGAAAAAGTTTCCTCACCCGTCAGACCGAAGGATAAGTTGGAATCAAAAGATGAAAACCCTGCATCTGTAGTTCTTTATATCACAGAAGGAAGGCCCCAGGTTAGAATCCTGCTGTGGTGTTTGAATGTCGGACCCATTCTGGGTCCTCTGGCGTTTTCCCACAGTCCAAATCCTGAACGTTACGATAACTGTTCACTCTAAATAGTGCTTAGCTGTTCACTACCTACCCCTACAGGCCAATTCACTATGGAGGTCGACGCCAGAGGCACCCCGCTCTGATTGGGGAAACTTAGACAACTTCTGGTGGTTCCCATCATGTCCAGTTATTGGATTCAATTGGTTTTCAACACAAATCAAAGCTGCTCTAAAGTCAGAATCCAAATCCTTCCCTTAAGGCTAAAAACAGAGGAGCCATGTTCTGTCCAGAGGAGAAACCACCTCAGACCGTCTGGTCTTCAGCTGTGGATCAGAAGCGCACACTGCAAACATGATGTAGACATAAGTAAAAAATTTTAGCAGGTAAATAGGATGATCTGATGTTTGTCCCGTTGGCAAAGTGTCTCCTCTCCTCCTCAATTCAAGAAGGAAAATGCACTTATTTTTATAAAGAAATGACATAAGCTGGGCAAAAGCTGTACGACTTTTTGCCCTTTTAGGGCCGATTGTCCTAGCCTGGGTGCCATTCCGAACTTAGTCCCGCCCACAACGTTTGAGGTCGGGAAGTTCGGTCTGGCATTGCTCCATAGTAGCGCGAGTATGCTAGCACAATATCTGGTGGGCCAATCAAATTGTCAGGGCGGGCTTTATACGATGATGGACAGATGATCAACAGTAACGTAATCAACCACGTGACCAAAGCGCGCTTGGGTGACAACAACAATGGCTGCCGCTGGAGAGTTGAGGTGAGTAGATTCTGCTATTAGGTCTGTTCTAGAAGATATCGACAGCAAATTAATTTTAAAAGAGGAACAGAGAAACGCGATCAAGGCTCATCTTCTTATTCTAGGCGTGCAACTGCACGCTTTGATTTTTGTTGACAACAACTATGCCTCGCTTAACATACGTCACGCACTCCGTTGCTCTTATTGGTTGTAGGTCTATCCAATTGAGTGCAGAGGCATTTTTTTCCTGGTTCATTCAAAACACGCCCCATAATCACAGCTCTATGGAGCAGCATCAGACTCATTCTGACTAGAATTGAGTCGGCCTACGTCAGGCTACGATTGTCCCGTCGTGGGAGCCTTTTTTGGTCCAGGCAAAGTTTCAGCCTAATGGTGCGTCCTGCGTCGCGCAGTATACAGGCAGTAGTGAGGGGCGATTAGCTTCTAACGACCACCACCTGATCAGGAATATTGAGGTCGTAAGACAATGAAACATGTTGGAAATTCAGTCGTCCATCATGAGGTGTTCGTTGGCAAATCCTGTTGTTGAAGCAGAGCTGCGAGCCGAAACAAGGGAGTTCTTCTTCTTTTTCTTACAGATTTACGAGTGTGATCAGCGCCATCTCTTGGAGCTGAGTCGGACGTGTGGTTTTTAGACACACAATGGGAAAAGGTTGATTGCATCATAGCGTTGGACTGTACAGTGGAAGAACAAACATTGTGAGCCGTGAACTTTTACGGGGCAACAGTGGCATCGGGTGTAAGAGTTTGCCCTGAAATCGAAGGGTTGACGGTTCAAGCCGTGGCTTTCAGTGTCGTTGTGTCCTTGGGCAAGACACTTCACCTGCATTGCCTACTGATGGTGGTCAGAGGGTGGCGCCAGCGTACGGCAGCCCCGCTTCTGTCAGTGAGTCCCAGGGCAGCTGTGGCTACAATGTAGCTCACCACCATCAGTGTGTGCATGAATGGGTGACTGACTGAATGTAGTGTAAAGCACTTTGAAGTCTCCTGACGTGAAAAAGCGCAATATCAGTACAGGTCATTTACCATTTTAAATCCCGTGGTTTCGTCGTACAGTTTGAGCCGAAGTTGAGTATAACGGTTGATGATGCATACAGTGGATGTTGGCCTTATTTACATGTCCATGTTTTGTAGCGTAGATGTTTCTGAACAGAAGAGGCCAGAGCAGCATGACTCGGTGTTCTGCTGTGGAACATCAGTGGTGGAACACGCTTCAGCCACTGAGATGTTTGCCGTGGAAATGGCTGACTATAACCGTCAGGAAGAAGGTCAGCAGGTAGAGGTGAGTGAGGACGTAACAGAGTCCACCTTCATGTGTCCAATCCGGGGACGTCATCATACCCATAAAGGTGGAAATACACCCAGGGATCTTGTAGGTGGAGGTCAAACTAAAGTTCTCGTCCCCAAACTCCACCGGGACTTTGACTCCAACCACCTACCTGAACGTTTCTGCAGACCAGGAACCAAACTTGGTGGGAATAGTGTCTGACAGCAGGACAGCGGTGGAAATATGGGACAATGACCGTGGTTCAAAACAGCCCGAGCTGCGTGAAAGCGGAACACGTCACCCGGAGGGTCCTGGGTCCGACTGCCACCATGACACAGCAGAACTTCTGCTGAGGATCAAGGTGCAGCCGGGGGGAAATCAGGGAGCATCGCGCCCTCATTTTTTGCATGACTGCTGCTGTCCATTTAAATCAGGACGATATTACATTACGGAGCAGCGTCACAGCTTCTAATGGTTACATCTTTACATACGTCGCCACATCATCAGGTGTCTGGGATCAAAGCGAGGCGACGTGCTTCACCAGAACTGATACGATCAGAAGGCCTGGAGAGATAAAACGATACCTAACCTAACGATAAAACGAAGCCAGCAGAGAAGAAGAGCTGTTCCCCCTCACCCCCCTTACCCTTGGAGGTGAGGAAGACTCTGCAGCATCATCAGGGATGAATTCCCTCCAAGCAGGACGCTCTGTTTAGTTTCCACAGCCTGAGTGTATTTAAGTTTGCCTGAAGTGGAAACTTTGGCGTGTGGAACGTGTGTGTTTTGGAGCGGAGAGCCGCCCATACGGAGGGAAGCTTTTGGAAACACAACACAGATGTGGTGGTGTGTGGCTATGTTTTCCTTACCTTGTGGGGACCATTTCCCTGGAATACGCCACAGTTTGGGGACCGGTCACTGGTTTGGGGTTATGTGCTGGTAAAGGTTAGGCTGAGGGTCAGGCTCTGGGTTAGGCCATAGAAATGAATGGAAGTCAATGGAGACGGATCGGGTGTCTGTGTTGGTTTGGTTGTTTTAAAGGAAAAGTTCAGTCATATTCAGAATACAAACACTTTAAATATAAAGTTATTACATACCGTTCAATAAATGATAAGTGTTTATAATTAAGAAGTTAAATTAAGTTAAATTAACTAGCAGACTTTTTGAAAAAAAAAAAGATCTTATGTTAAATAAACCACATTTAAAACATGTTCAGTTATTTTAATTGTAATTAGATTACAGTTATTTACTTCTTTAGGATTTGTTTTCTAATTTATTTGATTTTGGTTATAGACGAGACACTGACAGTAGACAAGCTGCAGAGAGGTCTGTTAACCTACGACTCTACTTCCTGGTTGGTCAAGGTTTGAAAAGGGAAATTCCGCTCATATTTAGAATACAAACTTCTGAAAGTTCTTTAAATATAAAATTATTACATGCTGTTTAATAAATAATCAATGTTTTTAATTTGGAGTAATTTTAATTTAAATGTGCTTCCAGTCGGAAGATGGAAGGAGGGAGGGGTTACTATATTTGGGCAAAAATGGCCGCTCCCAGACTCAGTTATTCGCAACTGATTAACGTTAAATTAATTAAATCACCACAAGCGTAATAGTTTTAGGTACTAGCTTGGCCCTAATACTCCGTCATACTGTCTAATGGATTCTTTTGTAAAAAATATATATATATTTTATTTTTATTTTTAAATGGTAATAAAGTAATGAAAGAAAGGTGACTCTTGAGGCGCTGAAGCTGGAGGGCAGTGGGACTTTAAACCCCAATGAAGCCATGAGGTTGACCTCAGACCGTAACCTCTGCAGACGTCCTCTCCAAGATGGCCGACAGGTTTCCCATTAGAATAAAAGTCCAAAGCCTGTTTCTGCTCCAACACACCAACCTTGGTTGATTGGCTGCTGTTTGCAGCCGTGGACCAATGGAAGCGCTGAGCGGTTTGCTGTGCAGACGTGTTCCAGCGCGTTTATAAACGCCACGCTCAGCCTTCAATTAGTCTGCTTGATGCTAAAGCGGATCTCTCCTAATTATGCGCTCCGAGCCGGAGGCTCTCTGCGGCTCGCTAAAGTAAATCTGATTACCCTGTTGTTTCCCGGCCGTAATGAGAGCGGGAATTAAAAGGTGCTGTCCGTTTAATGAGCCTCAGTGGTGACTCTGCGTTATTCCCGCTCTCTCTCTCTGCTTTCTCAAACATTTCGGTATTTTAGCTCGTTAGCTGCAGCCTGATACAGACTTACATAAAAACACGTTTCTGCTTCTAAAAACATCCCAAAATAACCCAGAATACCAGCGACCCCCCCCCCACCCCACACACAGCCTTTGTTGAGCCGTTCCTGATGATCATCCGTCTGTTTATCCGCCATTCTCTCCGAGTGTCACCGTTTAATTGGACCCCCCCCCTCCTCCTCCGTTCCCCATGGGAAAGTATGCAGACACATTTTGATTTGATTATGGCTCACAAACCAAACTATGCCTCCATGCATTCCGGCTCCGACAAACACAACCATGGGGGGGGGGAGGATTCCAGATCCTGATCCCAAAGCGTCCCACAGCTTCCAGCTCAGTACAGGTCCAGTCAGGTCAGCACGGGTCATTCTTCACTTCCCAAGACGACCGGGCGATCTAGGACCAATGGGAAACAGGATGCCCTCTGCAGGCGGCCACGCGTCACTGCAACCATCCGCAACGACTTAAAACGGAAGAGAAACGGAGCTGCAGGGCAGACGAGTCGGATCTGCCGCCGCAGAGCTGCATGGTTTACTTCTCAATAAGAAGGAGCTTTAAAGAGACGCATTCATGTGGTT